AGGTATTTATTGTTTATTTATGTTGCTGCTTGTATTGGTAGTGATAAATGTGTAAAGTCATACAATGAATGATTATTTCCTGTCTGCATATTTAATCAGTTCCACTGATCTCAGGTAATGAGAGTGGTGACCTTTGGGTCAGCCTCCACACTTTCCGTATAATCGTGTTCAATAGAACATGAAGACATAAAGTGATAATAAAAGATCAACGGGTTTATTCATAGAATCTCTGCTTCTCTACAGATCCTGTAACCCTACAGCTCAGCTCTGTTCCCCCTGGATATTTGTCATCAGCGGTGGACAGGATACGACAAGTGAGTCTTTCAATTTGCATCTTCCACTGGAAATGAGTTGGGTCTGATCACTTTCTATCATTATTTGCCGGAGTCACGTACACATTTCCGACAACATCCTTATTTATAGATTCAGACCACTCACTGTGTGGTATACTGATTCTCAAGGAGTTGTATCATGTGGGCTGTGTAAGAAATATGTGGTTTTCATATTAATGCCAAATTCCCCTGTGCCTGTTTGACATGTTAGGAATCTAACATTAACCATTAAGGAATCTTAACCAAAATGGGCATCCGATGTTCTCTTTAATGTATTTGTGCAATGTGTAATACTTAAGCCTTCTTTGTTAAATCTTTAACTTCAATAATACCATCTCTTTTTTTTTTTTATCACCCAGCCTGTGGAAAATGACTGTAGTGAATTTATTCCATCATCTTCTGTTTCATCAGGTATGTGTAAATATTAGAATAATACCATTCCCACCGTACACAACTGTGTATGGACATATTGGACACAATGTTATAAAAATGGGGCAATATTACGGTGGCTGAGAGAGCTCAACGCGCTGCAACTTCAGAAAACACATGCAAATAGAAAAAGCACCAGCAAATTAAGAAAACATCTTCATCAGTTTGACAGCACATGTGCTGCAAATACTCTCAACACAATCAAATACAAAAACACGCTGCAAATGCTCACAACACAAACAAAGAAACGCACTGCAAATACTCACAACACAAACAAAGAAACGCACTGCAAAGCTCACAACACAACCAAATAAAGAAACGAGCTGCAAAAACAGAAACGCGCCACAAATGCTCACAACACAAACCAATAAAGAAACGCGCTGCAAATACTCACAACACAAACCAATAAAGAAACGAGCTGCAAATGCTCACAACACAAACCAATAAAGAAACAAGCTGCAAATACTCACAACACAAACCAATAAAGAAACGCGCTGCAAATGCTCACAACACAAACCAATAAAGAAACGAGCTGCAAATACTCACAACACAAACCAATAAAGAAACGCGCTGCAAATGCTCACAACACAACCAAATAAAGAAACGCGCTGCAAAAACAGAAACGTGCCGCAAATGCTCACAACACAACCAAATAAAGAAACGATGGTCTGATGTTGCTTAACTATATTCTAAATATAAAAAACAAGAACTTATACAGACAGACATCACATCTGTAGCATAGAGTGAGAAAATGGACATATGGCATGAGAGCGTGAGAACAATGTGAGTTGTGTGCGGGTTGGATATGACTGACAGTGATCACTGTAGAAACGGACGGAACATAACATCTGACAAGCCAATTAAAAAATAGACCTGTGCTTTAAGTGATGCAGTGTAAATGCCGAGCAACAAACCTACAACAGCAACAAGCCAGGGTTGGCTGAATACATTTAGCAGCTTCTACAGTTAAAAGAAAAAAAAGTAAAGCAATTAAATTTAAAATTAAATTACATCTAAAAATATTTGAAGGGATTAATGCATTATTATTTAATTATTATTGTGTTAATTAACTTATTAAATTTGTAGTTAACCAGTACAAAATTATTTAAATAATTAACCCTTCTAGATTGTTGGAGTCTGGGTTTATTTAATGACATGAGACTTTGTGACTTCCTGCGCTTGCTGTACTTCATACTTCAGTACAATAAAAGTATCAAATTTGTTAAAGGGGTGGTTGACTGTTTTTTTTATAGGCTTTATTGTGTTTATGGGGTGCAGTCTAACATGTGTTAATGCTTCGTTTGTTAAAAAACACGGCTTTTAATGGTAGGCCTAAGATTTTTGTTTGTTGTTGTCTCATACTTTTAGATACGCTGCTATTTGTAAATGCTACTGCTTCTGTTAGCTTTTAATATACGGTTTTATTCTGAATAAAGCTAATACAGTTCGGCAACCACACGCGCATCCATATATAACGCTTCTCATAACTATAGTATGTGAAAATAAGTGTATTCACTGAGCTGATAATCTGAATGAGAGAGAGAGATGCAGAGCGTGTGCACAGCAGGGCAAGGCCAGGAACAGGATGAGAACGCTGCTTTAGAACATTGATTTTGAAACTTGTGAATCCATTAGAATCGTTAGAAGACAGAATCGCGATTCATATATGAATAGATTTTTACGTGCACCTGTAGTTTTCTCTTCCTCTTCTCTAAAGCAGCGCAGCAAGGCCTCGCCCCCTTTGCTGCGTGTTCCCGGAGGCGGGGTTTATGTAAAATTCTGGGTTCTTGACGTAACGGACCTGGGAAGTAACTCGTTGTAGTCCCTTACCAGTCATTTTTGTAGGCATTATACTACCAGAATTTTAAAAGTCGATATCTCCGTTTGCATTGAACTTTCAGCTTCGTAACTTTGCAGATATGGTTTATGATCAAACAGCAACATTACACACTAACTAACATTAAAAAAGTGAAATCGCAATCAACCACCCCTTTAAAATAAATCTAAATGCAAGACCTAATAAGAACTAGGGAGTGGAATTGGCAACTGAGCTAATGAGTGATCCTCTGTTGCCATCTACTGGTTATTTTGGTAATTTCATATCATTTTAATTTTAAGTGTTTGTTTTCCATCAGGTGACAGAAAGGGTTTAAAAGAAGTGTTTTAAAATAAAATGCGCTTCATAGACAAACAGCTCTCAGAGGGTTAAGAAGCATGTGTAAATTGGGTTTTGGAGTGCTATTATTACTGATAGCATTAATTTAGGAGATATCCTGACTTTAAGCACTTTATGCAATGTCTGCTTTTCTTTCCCCACTCTGTAGACTTCGGTAAAGAAAATATGGGTTGTAAGGAGTGTTTATGTTCGGCTCCTCCACCCAAAATCAGTGACCTGATGAACGACGAAGACCTTCTGTACACTCTAAGGCTGAAGCTCGATCCGACTCACTGCACTGTCAAAAACTGGAAGAACTTTGCAAGCCGCTGGGGAATGAGCTACGACGAGCTCACGCTTCTAGAGCAGCGCACACACGGTCCCACCTACCACAGTCCCACTCAAGAGTTCCTCCTGCGCTACAACCAGAAACCTGTCACGGAGCTCACCGCACTCTGCCAGCTTTACCAGCGCATTGATGTGCTTCGATTGCTCCAGAGATGGATGGAGAATGACTGGCCCTCGCGCTGGCAGCAGGCCCATTAGCTGGTACTTCACAATAACTGGACCTCAAAGGAGAAACGTGTTGGTAGGAACTGAAATTCATGACTGCATGGATGGACAGCAGGTCAGAACACATTACACATTACTGAACGGGTGGTACAAAGACAGTTTTTACGAGGTTGTACACTGGACGTAGTTTATTTTTTGGTAACCGTTGGCTGGTTTCATCACTCCATATGTCACCGTCTGGTTAGCTGTATTAGCTATGTGGTAAAATATATGCAACAAATATATGCAGTAGCACCCCAGCACTTCAGTAGAAAATGGAAAGACCACTCAGGTGTGATTACTCATTTAGATTCTGTCTGGAAATTCTCTGTGATTCCAGTCATACAGCATTTAATTTATTTTAATACAAACAGTCATCTGCTGGCGGTGTGCCAGTGTTGGTGGTCTTATGAAGTGTCCTTTTAATTTGCAACATATACTATAATGAGTCATTGTTCTCAATATCTAAATTAGTTTTAAGACAACCTTTCACCTTTATTCTTGCCTGCATTCTAGTAACAGGGTCATTCTAGAATTAATCACACAAAAACTGCATCTCCTTTCAGTGTATAAAAATTGAATCTTCTTCATTGTTTTACATGAATTTGAGCATGTAAAACATTGTGATATATATCAAAATTCCCATTGCACTGCTCACTGAGCACTTGAATTTAGTATCATGTTTGGTATGAATGGCACTTATTTTTTTTTATTATTATTTTGAGACTTTAAGAAAGAGTTAGCATGTCTCTGAGAAAGGAGTGGTAAAATAGCAGTATAACTGCAGAGAACAGTGGATCTGGAAGTTAACTGGACTTTATTGAAAATATTCGTTTAAAAAATGCAGGGTCCGGCTGTTTCAAAATGTATGGTCAAATGTAAATTACAATGCAGGTAGTAGGGTAGAATGTGACAACATTACCTCTTCTAAACAAGACTTTAAAAAGTGTTTGGTTTTGTGCCATGTACTCTACCTAGCTTTTTATTTCCTGTGTCTAAAAATTAAAGCCTGTTTATGTGCATCAGGGGTTCTCTGTTTAAAAATAAAACTTTTATATGTACAGTATCTGAATATTTGTTATACCTACCATTATAGTGTAAATACAAAGTATTTTTCATCTGCAATACATTATGAACTACTGGCATTGCTTGAATGTCAGTGGTGAATAATGGTCTGACATCATCAAAACTGGAGTGAGTGTTAAAATAAATTTTCCATGCAATGATCATATCATAAACTTTATTGAAGTCTTTTGAGAGATTTGTGCCCTTGCAAATATAGGTACATGCTTCATGAAACACACAAAGACACATGTGATATTTAATAGATGTAAAAAATTTGACCTTTTTTTTCCCCAATTTGCAATACTGACAAATATATAGATGTATATAATTGGAATGGAAATAAGTATTTAAAAAAAGACTATATATTAGATATTATTACATAAAAACAGTGACAAGACAGAATTAGAGATTCAGCATATTTTCCTTCATGTTCTTGTCAATGTTTTGAGAAGATATAATATTGCACATTTAAAGAGAACTTTATACAATTATGTATATAACTGATTATAAAAATAAGTACATCTCTGTTAATACTCTAGCCATTTTAAAAGTAAACAGCTGGAGGTGAATTTTTTTAATTTTTACATAGTTTACATATGCACTATGTAGTGGGTGTGGAACTACACTAACAAGGCTCTTGGTTTTATTTAAGGATTAATCTGTTGGCAAACCAAGCATGTTGTTCAAGCTGAGGGCAATCTTGGTGTCATCTTCATTGCTAGTTGTATCAATTACTGGGTAGTCCTTATCAGCATCAGGCTTTGTGACTTTACATGTTCCTCTATTCACTTTTGTAGGGCTGCCTGGTTCTGAAAATATGCCAAAATCTGGGCTTGTAGTACGTGCATTAGACAATCTCAGCCTTTCCCGGATATCTACACTAGCTGTCTGTCCATTGACCCCAACAAACGGAGAAGAAGCTTTAAGATTTGTCTTGACTGAGGAGACCAAGACGACCGCGTCATTAGTTGTTTTTGTAGGGTCAGTACTGAGGTCAACTGCTCCAGTGAGTTCTTGTAAGATACTGTCAATGTTGCTGTCAGGTAGGCGGTGAGGCTTGAACAATGGTATATTTTTGGGGAGTTTAATTTCTGCAGTGGTACCATCTACTTCTGGTGCTTTAATGTTAATATCCTCATCCTTTAATTCAGTAGATTTTCTCCATTTGAAGGGCCATTTTACCTTACGCTTTGAGCCCTCTTCAGCATTGATGTCTGGAACATCTACATCAACCCAAGCATTTGGTAGATTCACGTCAACATCAGGAGTACCAACCCCAGGTGCAGATAGATTCAGATCTTTTCCACTTACATCAGCAGCAATGTCGACTTCAGGAGATTTGGCTTTTGGACCAGACAGGTTAAACTTTTTGATGGTTGGGAATTTCAGCTTTCCTTTTGGAGCATTGATGTCAACATCTGCTTTGGGAAGGTTTATATCAGCATCTGGCACTTTGACATCTGCATCAACTGTTGGAGCTGAGAGGCTGAGATCAGGAGCTTCTGTATTTAAGTCAATCTCAGGTGTCTTCATTTTTGGACCAGAAAGGTCAGCTTTTGGTTTCTTAAATGTAATTAGTTTCAGCTTTCCAGACGGAGCCTTTAAGTCTGGGGACTCGATATCTACATTGGGAACACTGACCTCAGCTTTGGGAAGATTTAAGTCAACACTGGGTGAATTTAATTCTCCTTCAAATTTGGGAACTGAGAGATCTAGATCTGCATTAGCATCCAGCTCAGGCCCTTTTACTTTTGGCCCAGTCAAATTCAGTTTTGGAAAATTGACATGTGGCATCTTAAATTTTCCAGATGGGGCATTAATGTCAACATCTGGGACTTTAAGGGTAGCATCAGGTCCTTCAAGCTCTGCTTTTGGCAAGTCTAGGTCTACATCTGGGGTGGTGAGATTGAGATTTGGTGACTTTAGATTTCCCCCAATGTTTGCACTTGGAGCATTTAAGTCGGCTTTTGGTAAACCGAGGGCTAAAGAAGGAGCAGAAATGTCACCTTTAACTTTAGGTGTTGAAACACTAAGATCAGGTGCTTTAACATCTACATTAGGTGCTTTAAGTTCCTCTGTGGGCATGTTCACATCCACATCAGGTGCATCTAGTTTTGGTGTTTTAACCCGAGGTCCAGAAAGACCAAATTTAGGCAGCTTAAAGTGAGGTACCTTGGCTTTGCTAGAGGGGGCATCAATGTAAATATCTGGGGCTTCAAGGTCTACATTTGGACTTTTGACATTAGCATTGGGCAAGTTCAGATCCACATCTGGAGCACTAAGTTTGCCATCCACTTTGGGTGCTGAAAGACTGAGATCTGGAGCTTTCAGGTCTAGGTCCGGTCCATGGAGATCTGCCTGTGCATTGAGGTCTACATCTGGACCTTTCATTTTTGGCCCAGATAGATTTATTTTAGGCAGTTTAACATGGGGCTTCTTTACCTTTGCAGATGGAGCTTCTATGCCAATATCTGGTGTTGTCACATCAGCAGCTGGAGTTTTAATGTCTAGATCTGCAGCAGAGAGGTTGAGGTTTGGTGCCTTGACATCTAGATTCGTTCCTTCCAGTTCAGCTTTTGGCAGATTAATATCTACCCCAGGAGCCGACATGTCCAAGTCTGGTGCGTGTACCCCTGCATTTAGACCTGGAGTTTTCAGCTTTGATTTATGTAAGTTTAGCTTTGGCATTTTAAAAGTTGAGAACTTGTGCTTTGCAGTCGGAGCATTAATGTTTACAGCAGGTGCTTTTACATCAATATCAGTGCTCTGTAAATTGACATCTCCTTTTGGAATGCTGATATCTCCATCTATCTTTGGTGCTGAGAGATTTAAATCAGGTGTTGAGACATTGGCATTTAAACCAACCTCTGATGCTTTAACCTTCTGCCCAAATGTGGGTTTCTTAAATGTTGACCACTTTATTTTCTTAGAGGGAGCATTTATATCAACATCAGAAGTTTTAATATCTACATCTGGAGCTTCAAGGTTGGCTCTTGGCAGATCAATGTCAACATTTGGTGCACTGACATCTGCATTTACTTTTGGACCAGAAAGCTTTGTATCAACACTTGCCTCTGGTACTTTCACTTTTGTAGTTTTTGCTTTCTTTAATTTAGGAAATTTGATCTTGCCAGAGGGCGCTTCGATATTAGCTTTTGGTGTTTCGATGTCCAGGTTTGGACCACTGAGCTTCGCTTTTGGCAAGGTCATGTCTACGTCAGGGGTCCCAATTTTTCCGTTAATCTTTGGGGCCGACAGATTCAGATCAGGGGTTTTTAGGTCAGCATTTATGTCTGGGGCAGTTAGATTCACATCACCATCGACCTTTGGTTTTTTACCATGAAGACTGAAGGTGGGCATTTTGAACTTGGGCGTTTTGGTCTTCAGTTCAGGTTTGTCTACATTAACAGAAACATCTGGGGTGTTAAGAGTAGGGGTAGAGACACTGACATCAGGTGCTTCTAATGTACCATCCAGACCTGCTCCTTCGAGATTTGGTGCAGACAAGCCAAAAGTTGGCCTTTTGAACCCTGGGTGGCTGAAGTTAGGTGTGGCATCCTTTAGCTCAATCTGTGGCATTTCTGCATTTACTGTTGGGGTTGAGATCCCACCCTTAAGCCTTGGGGCATTTATCTGTCCATTTAGCCCATTAACCTGAACACCTGGTGCTTGAAGTCCTGCCTCACTGTTCAGTCGAAGATCACCAAGAGACTAAAGAGGAAGATGAGATGAAGACATTGAGACCCAATTATTCTCTATTTTTGCTTTTTCTTTCATTCTCAATGTTGCTTACCAGTCCTTCTTTCAGATCTTTTGCTGTCTTGAGTTCAAGATTCTTGTCATAGGGCTCGAGTATTCTGATCAATTTTAGCACTTCATCTTTACTGAGGTGGTCCAGATGAACGGTTGCAGCAACAAGCCGATCTCCTGCGAGAGACAAAAAGAGAAGATAAGGTATGTTACAGAATCCATTACTATCATTAAGTTTGCTTGTTGTATGACTGAGGCAGCATATAGGGCTGCGTTTACACTTGGCATTAACATGTGACCTGTATCCGGATGTTGTCCACATACACATTGAAAAGACAAGTGTAAACGCACTTCTGATCGGAATGTTATCCGATCAGCGTGTCCTGCTCCAGAGGTAGTCGAGGACGCATTGTGATCGGATCTCAGTGTAATGTAAACGCAATCTAGCCATCGTGACTGCATTCGCAGGTTGAAACCACGCAAAACCCCGCCCCCTCTCTCGCGAACTGTCAGAAGAAGACGGAGAACACCCGTGTGGAGCGCTAGTGAGACTCCTACACTTATCTTTGATTTGTAAAATGTCCCGCGACTGAAAATGTTTTTCAAAAGAAAACCCACCACTTCAGGGTGACTTTGCACTGGGCCATTCTCTGCAGACTTATTTAAATATTGCGCGGGAAAGACAGATCCGATCAGTTATCCAGATAGAGAACTCAGCTGATGTTGCCAAGTGTAAACGCGCCGTGTCCTGATTGACTGATGATCCGATCTGCTTGATCAGATCACGGAGATCGCATGTTAATGCCAAGTGTAAAGGCAGCCTAGGATACATGCCAGTTCTTTACCTTCCTTCAGGTTGATTGCTGGATTTGTGATCCCTGTGACTACGACCCCTCCTTTTTCTGTGTCCTCCAAAGTCTCTGAGAGGGCATGAATCTTTATTTCTCCATTCTGCACATGAACACGGTGACTTACTACCATACATTAGTGTTTTGTTTATAATCTCATAAATACATAATATTATTTGCAAAAGTAAAAATTATGTACTATGCCATGGCAAGGATGTAATCAGAGGTATAATGAATGTGTGAAATGCAATTAAAGGTGCTGTAAACTATTGTTAGCCATGTTGAAACTTCTAGCAGACTTAACCATTGAGTCAGGCACGCCCTGACTTCTGATTGGCTAAACAAATCTGATTACATCTGCCAGGTGTTAGGAATATTTTCTGTGTGCAATTCTGTTAAGAAATTACAAGAATTTTTAAATTGTTATTTTGGTGAGAGGGTACCAACCATCATGTCTTCTCTTCTTTAAATACAACTGACATGTCATGAATACCAGTTTTCAGGAGATCTGTCAAAACAAAAAGCAACAAGACTTGAAGTAATTTTTATCATTACATGAAGGACTATATTATGTGGATATTCATTTTATAAAAAGTAGGCTACATTTAAGATTTTCAAGGAAAATTACTGATTTTAGTATTTTAGGAACATACAATGGAAGTACAATGACTAATTGTAATTTGAATCTAAAGCCAGTTTTAGACCTGCTGCTGATTCAAAACAAACATGTTGCAAGCAATCGTCATGTCATCTTTACGCCATAAAATGAGCATATAAGTGCATGGGTGTGTGGTTACTTCCTTGCTTCCTTTTCAACCTCATCCCACACTCCTCGAGGCACTTGTTACATCTATATTGCATCATTTTAGTAGTCTTGTACATTGCTTGGTAATAAAGCTAATCTAAGCATCACTTTTACATGTTTTTAAAATTAATTGATTGATAGCATTGTTATTTATTTATTTAAAAAAAAAATCAAGATCAGTTATTTACATATTAAATTAAAAAATAACACGCATTGCGTGTAAAAGAAGGGAAAAGGGAAGTGGCAGGGTAAAGTCAGGAACCGCCTCCAGTTTTTCAAAAACAGATGTAATCAGCTGTAATGCAGTTAATCACATTCACTAGATCTCATAGTGAGAAGGTGTTTGTTAAAAAGTGAAGTAAATAAGAAGGGAAGATACTATTCCATGCTGCAAACCACATTGCTTAGAACAAAATATAAACAAATGATGCTTTATGATGCTCCCTTTTGAGGTCTGCAGTCTGGTAACCAATCACAGGGGCAGGAGCTTTATGGCATTATGGCATTATGACATCTTCATTCTCTCTCTGAGGTTTGAGCTAACATGTCACAGGCAAGCAGAGATTTTTATTTATTTTTTTTAAAGAAAGAATTGCAGAAACCTTGCATATGTGCAAAGTACAGCCTCTACATGCCCAATTTTTCAAATTTTAGATTATTAAACAACCTCCTAATTTAACTCAAAATAAAATGCTTTTGAACTTGGTATTCTGTCTCTGTAACAGATTGTGTATGTGTGGTTTGTGTCAGGAATGTTTTAGGAATGGATGGACTGTGGAGAATGAGGAGAACCAGTTTGTTCAGATGAAAGAAAGATGAGGAGATAAATACAAGGTCACTCTGTATCTCTCTTGGCTTTTTCCCCCTTAAATATCTATCTTCCCATTTTTTTCTGTTTTGTCTCTCTAAAGCATATTATTCAGACTGCGATTAGAAGGTTCAGATGGTCTTGACAATGAATTTAAGATTTCACAGTCAAGATCAGAACAATATAATTACTCTGCTCAGTAAAGCATTGAGTTTAATCAGCAGCGGGAATCATCTAATGTTTCAGCTTCACCCACCACCACAACAGTTTCCCAAATACTTGCTTCTAAAATAATCTGATGCTAAAATAAACCATCACTGCTTTCAAAAGTCATACCATATCATAAGTTATTCCTCATTTTTATAGCGTGCACATGATGCATGATTAATTAGTGCTGAAAATTTCAGCTCATCCAAATGTTTCTCCTGTTCACATTTTTGTGACTGTTTTCAATTTACAACTAGTATTAATCAGTAAAACCGCTATAGATTCACATTTATGACAACAATCAGAGCAAAGTGCACATCAAACAAATATTAAACGAGATATTAAAGGAGCTGTTACAACATCAGAACGGTCTTCTTTAGGCCTGATTTGACATGACGAACCTCTGCATTTTGCAAGTAACTTAATTTATCAGTTCCCATTAGATGACGCAGGATGATAAATTGCTCTATGATGTTCTTTCTGATTCTGTATGATTTATTTAGTCACTTACCCAATGTTGTTAATGTGAGTGCATCTGTAGCCGTTGATGTTGACCCCTCTAAACTCCAGGTGAATATGACTGTCATCCTCTCTGTCATGGGGTTTCTGTCAGATGAATGCATGTGGAGCCACCAAACAGGTTCTGCAGCACCAGCATGACAACCACACACACACCGAAACTACAGATACAGAGAGCAAGTTTAAAAGTGACTATAAATGTACATGCAAGTTTGTGGCATGATGCAGTTAAATGTTTGTCATATATTTCAATTTGATTATGATGGGTTTATTATTTGTATGTTTTCTATGTCACAGAGAGCTTCAGTTCAGAATTGCCAAAGCAACAGCGATTTGATCAGTCTTCCCCAAAAACTGGACTTTGAAACTTGCATTTGTTGATTTTCACATTATAAAACGGTCATACTTAAACTATGGTGAGCTAATTTATGCTTTAGTCAAAGATGTGGCCAAATATTTAATATTTGTGGGGAACAAAGTTCAAATGTTGTGGTTTTTCCTTAGTAACAACAGCTTAGAAACATCCGATGAGAAAAACTAAAGTGTGTTTTGTCAACAGTGAAATATTGCAAGACTGTTGTGTTTGCAAGGGTTTGGCCTTACAGTCTTGTGCCACACACCCTTAAGTTCTTTCTGAAATGCATATGAATGCATGGCGCTACAGAATAGTTTCAGTAGAGGGAGAGTTTACCCAGAAATATAAAATCTGACCTTATTCTATGTATCAAGGAGATACAGTGTTTTGAAAAAATACTTTGGACCTGAGTGACTTTCATTGTATTGACAAAAAAAGTAGACGCATTCTTCGGAATATCTTCCACACAAAGTCACACAGGCTTGGAACGACATGAGGGTGAGAAAATGATGACACAATTTTGGGTAAATGATCCCTTTAATGTTAATTCAACACCCACAAATGTATTTCGGAAATGCTTGTTCACATTTGTCAGCACTACTAAGGCATATTCAATCAAATTAACCATCAAACATCCAACAGGAAACTGCTGTCTGGTTGAACAATACTGAAAGTTTGAGAAAGATGTCTAATGAAACAAATCATGAAGTCATTAAGGTGTGAATTTGTTGTTCTGGAATGATTTGCCATTCTGGCATACAATAAAGACATTATTGTAAGAGTTTTTTATTTATTTCATGAACTGTAGTACAGTCACATTTCTTAGTAAAAAGTAATACTATTAGTCACCCACCTTGCATCCTTAAGCTCCTGGCAGCAGAAATGGAGCCCTTAACCACTATTTATGGCAGAAAATAGCTTCTATGAATTGTTACATTTATAAGAAGAGACTGTGTCAATGCAAATGAGTAACCACTCATCTTCACAATACAGGGTTTGTTGGTATTTGTTCACAGAGAGAATTGGTTTAACTCCATGGACACTAAACTGTGCTGCAGTTGTTAATGTTTACAGTTCAGTACAAAGGTAAAAGTTTATGGATAGAATGAGATTTTACATTTTGAATGTAGCCTACTCACTACAAGGTAATTGTATATTTGGTTGCAGTAAATCAGCAAGACATGGTTATTTAACAATATATGAGTGATTGTCAAATCAAGGAAACTTTTCTGTCCTCTTGAATTATTTAGGTTTTCTTTTTTTAAGAACAGTCAGTTTAGTTTTAGCAACACTTATTCTATTTCTTTAAAAACGTGACACTTTGGCCAGCTTCAAGGCCTTTATCAGACGACTGAGAATTATTTTGCCTATTATAATACATTCAAACATTATGTGTCTCTTTAATTACTAGAGTGTTTTGTGGAAAATTAATCTGGACATTGGGACTAATACATGTATTTAAAAAAAATCTATGTTCGGTAATTCTACTTCACGCTTCTGTGTAAAACTCGTATATTTGTGTACAACTTTGTATTTTTAACATACTGTTATCATAGCATCACACCAAGCATTTTAGAGTTTTTTAAAAGTTTTTTTGAGTTAGAAATGAAAAGGGACAGGCAAGAGCATCTCCAAAAACATCTCCCTTTAAACTTTTTTTTTTACATCGTGATCTGAGAGTATTTGTTAGTGTCATCATCAAACTGGTTTAATTCAGAAATTAATGATTTCTTTTTTTATTTTAATTTCAGTATGTTGAGTGACTGATAGCTATGGGTTAGCCAACGGTTTCTCCAAAAACTAAACCATCACACACAATTAAGAATCCACCCAGTAAAATGTAGTTTGAAGAAGTTACATTTTTCAAGATTTCAAGTAGGCTAGTCAAAAGTGCATCTAACTGAAGAATCACCCATTTATGACCCTCATTTTAGCCGTTTTCACTGTGTACTCAGCAAAGCTCCTATTGACTGCACTGTCATGAAAACCACAGATATATTACCGAACCTCAAAAGAAAGTGTTTGAGAGAGGAAAGCACCTTGTGTGCTTAGGCTAATGCATGAAGGCTGACTGTGGTATTGAGCTTGTGCACATGTTGTGACAAGAGCAGTGCTTTTGCCTTAAGGGAGGACTTTGGAGTTGAGTCTTTGACTTTTATTTATTCGTGTTACATCTAAGTCTTAGCGTCTGGGCTTCAGGTACGAACTTGTCTCTTTCATTGTATCTCTGTAATGAAATGCAGTCAACCAGCAACCAGGAAACAAAAGCTCTCCTCTAGCCATAAACATGTTAAGGCCTCATCATTAATTAAGGAAGAACCTCATAGTGGTGGAAGCAAAAACCCAGGAATGAAAGTTGCTTCAGTCTTCATGCAGACAGAGAAACAGGTGTCTAAATGAGTACTGCAGACTCACCCAATGGCAATCTAGGAGCACAAAAATAGCATTTTATTCAGTTTGGTCCAAGTCGAGAGTTGGATTTTTTTTAGGTCTTTTGTTTTCTGCTCTAACTGTGGTACTATGTGGTGCTATGAAATGTGGTTGAACAACTGCTAGTTTGAATGGTGAAAAACACATTTTTGTCATTGTACACACCACCGACACAGTACTGAATGTTTCGGATACCACCGATCCGGTTAGAAACACTAACAATTAAGATGATAAAAATTTCATGAATAGTTCATGGTGCACAAGTAACATTTTTTAAATTTCCAAGGAACAAACTGTTTATCCAATTTACAGTGTGCTCTGACCCTCAGACCATAACTTAATACATTATATAGATTAAAAAATATTTAAAACTTTAGCAAAACAACTATATAAATGCATACTTTTGAGTAAAAATGGCTGCTATGTCCTCAAATAAGGTTAATTTTTAATGAAATGTACATCTTTAATAAGGTTTCACAGTTGTGTCCCCACTTTTTGTCAACTGAGAATAAAAAACATTTATAAAATCAGGCAATATCAAAGTCAGCCTTCCTGCTGAAGGTCCTCGTTCCATGTTTCACCTGCTGGGTTCAACAACATCACAGGCTCTGGTGTGTTGTATAGTTTTTTTTATTATTATTATATATTAAGTAAATATGCTTGTATTTTATGTCACACTGATTATGTCATCTCACTAACACAAACTGTAAAGAAATTGTTTGGGATTTTTACATAATTTCCCTACATTATTTACATGTGTGATCTGCAAAACATGATGACAAGTAGAAAACCAGGTGTCTCTCAGAAACTCAGATTTCACATTTTCATATCTTTGCACATTTTTATATCTTTAGGTAAAAATGTTTGACTAGCCATCCCTGAAATGTCCATCTGAGCTACTTACAGAAGTTTATACATTATTGAATATTAGAGTAGTAGTAGAAGTGAATAGAGGTGGTGTGGGGGAGGAGGAGGGAAGCCTGTAGAATGTTCATGAAGGTGAGGTAAGTGTTTAAGGAGTATATATTAATGGCCCTAGTAATTATAGTTATTGATTGCTTTAAGAGATGTTCCTGTGTTCCAGATTGTAGCCTAATAAGTTATTGTAGGCTATTATTGTTTTATAGAGTATACTGAGTTATTATACTGTATGTGTGGATAGAATTTTCATGTCGGTAATTCTACTTCACGCTTCTGTGTAAAACTCGTATATTTGTGTACAACTTTGTATTTTTAACATACTGTTATCATAGCATCACACCAAGCATTTTAGAGTTTTTTAAAGTTTTTTTGAGTTAGAAATGAAAAGGGACAGGCAAGAGCATCTCCAAAAACATCTCCCTTTAAACTTTTTTTTTACATCGTGATCTGAGAGTATTTGTTAGTGTCATCATCAAACTGGTTTAATTCAGAAATTAATGATTTCTTTTTTTATTTTAATTTCAGTATGTTGAGTGACTGATAGCTATGGGTTAGCCAACGGTTTCTCCAAAAACTAAACCATCACACACAATTAAGAATCCACCCAGTAAAATGTAGTTTGAAGAAGTTACATTTTTCAAGATTTCAAGTAGGCTAGTCAAAAGTGCATCTAACTGAAGAATCACCCATTTATGACCCTCATTTTAGCCGTTTTCACTGTGTACTCAGCAAAGCTCCTATTGACTGCACTGTCATGAAAACCACAGATATATTACCGAACCTCAAAAGAAAGTGTTTGAGAGAGGAAAGCACCTTGTGTGCTTAGGCTAATGCATGAAGGCTGACTGTGGTATTGAGCTTGTGCACATGTTGTGACAAGAGCAGTGCTTTTGCCTTAAGGGAGGACTTTGGAGTTGAGTCTTTGACTTTTATTTATTCGTGTTACATCTAAGTCTTAGCGTCTGGGCTTCAGGTACGAACTTGTCTCTTTCATTGTATCTCTGTAATGAAATGCAGTCAACCAGCAACCAGGAAACAAAAGCTCTCCTCTAGCCATAAACATGTTAAGGCCTCATCATTAATTAAGGAAGAACCTCATAGTGGTGGAAGCAAAAACCCAGGAATGAAAGTTGCTTCAGTCTTCATGCAGACAGAGAAACAGGTGTCTAAATGAGTACTGCAAACTAGAGGAGCACAAAAAGAGCATTTTACTCAGGTTGGTCCAAGTTGACAGTTAAATTTTTTAGGTCTTTTGTTTACTGCTGTCACTGTGGTACTATGCTGTGGTACAAAATGGGGTCAAGCAACTGCTAGTTTGAATTGTGAAAAACACATTTTTGTCATTGCACACACCAC